ACTCTAGGGTTGCGGTGCTCATCTCCGTTTCCAAGCCGAAGAGCCAGCGCTGTCCAAAGACGTTTCCGCGGTCATGTGGCCGGCATGACTAAACAGCAAGGCGCACAGAACGCTGTTACCTTCCCACCGAAGTGGTACCTATTTATCTACTTGCAATTTCTGGCTTTCGAACGGCTCGGTTGGCAGGAGCTGGAAATAGAGACGGGAGCTCACTCCATCATGCGGCACTCGGGTCTTGAACTGCTGAACTACTGACCTTCCACAGCCTGCAGTTCAGCGTCTTAACCACTTGAGCCACCGCAGCTCCTTCAGGGCGGCTTACATAAACATTTTCAAAACAGTTTTAGGGCAATTTAAAACCAATATAAAAACTAAGCACAATACAGTCAACTTTTCCTATGCTGCGGCAAACATATCCCAATATTGCCATTTCAAAAATTTTGTAACAGGAGTCAGTCACTGCAACAGTGGGGATGGCAAAGTCCCAGGGAAGGCTCTGATGCTATAACCATATACACCCGTTGCACCAGATGTACGAGAGGTTAGATGTGGTCAATGTGGTCAAATGCCTGGTGGAAGAGCTCCGTCTTTCAGGCCCTGCGGAATTGTAACAAGTCCTGGGGAGGTAGGGTTTGGGGTGGGGAGGGAACTCAATAGGGAACAATGCCAATGGCCTCCTCCTCCTCCTCCTTTACTACTAGGGTTGACAATCTCCAGGTGGGGCCTGGAGACCCTCCAAAGCAGCCATTTTCTCCAGGGGAGCTGATCTCTGCCATATGGAGATCAATTGTAATAGTGAGAGATCTCCAGGCCCCACTTGGAAATCGGTGTTCCTATTTATTGGCCTAGCCTACCTAGGTCATGGCTATAGTAAAGACCGTCACCAACCCGCAAACAATGGGACGTCCGTGTTGCTCTAAGACCGATATTTCTGATTCACAAATTGCTTAACTCTTCTGTGCTACAATCCATTAAGTCTATGAGGTGATTGACCTCAGTGGGAGATGGATAACAATGGATGGCTACTGTTTTCGGATAAATATAAGTCAACAATGCGGACGCAGGGAACCCCCCCCCCCGTTTTCCCTCTCTGCAGCTTGTATCGCCACATTTACAAAGACACGATCGTAACGGGGGTTTTGTGCACTGCGGCTGGAAACTGCATTGCCCGAAGCCTCAGAGAGCCCCGGCAGCACATGATTTCCCCCACTTGTTCCCTCTCCTGTGTCATTAAGCCACTAGCCGTCATGAAGCGGGAGTCACATAGAAAGGTCTGGTGGGACAGAATGCCCAGGGTTAGTTATTCCAGGATGTATCTTCTGCAGACGGCCACCCTCACGCGCTTCCTTGATGAGACCCGAAAATGTGGCACTCCACAGAGCGGCTCTTACAATCCGTACCCTTCCTGGCTTATTCCTGGATAATTTTTAGAGCAGGGGTGTCGAACCCATTTGTTACGAGGGCCGGATCTGACATAAATGAGACCTTGTGGGGCCGGGCCCTGTGTGCCATGAACTGTAATGCCAGGTAGCAGAGATATAAACTTTATCAAGGACACAAACACAAAGGGGTGTTTTTTTTACTGAAAATAAAAAAAAAACATGCTTAAAACATTATTTTATTTTATTTATTTATCTTTAGATTTGTATCCCGCCCTACCCCAAAGGCTCAGGGCGGCTAACAAGGGCACAAAGTGTCAAGATTAAAACAATAAAAGCACATAATATAAAACAGTAAAATACAGTAACAAAATCTGACAGTGCTCCATTTGTCACAAGATGGGGTAGATCTTAAACCCAATGGTAACTTTCCCCAAATCTATCATCCTTTTCCTGCCAGGGGCACCTTGCACCCCCAAAGGGGCCAGATAGTAGCTCTGTAAGCTGCAAACCTACTTTTGGTTTATTGACATTCGGGAGCCTCATCTGGCCCCCGGGCCACATGTTTGACACCCCTGGTTTAGAGTGAAAACCTGTAATTTGTCGTCATTGTCGCTGTCGAGTCACAGCTGACTCAAGGTGACCACGTTGGGTTTCCGAGGCAAGAGACATTTCAGGGGTGGTTTTGCCACTGCTTGCCTATCTGAGATGGTGTGAGCTAGGTCACAGTTATTTAGCCTCTGGCTCACGCATTTTTGCCTTAGCTCAGGAAGGAGGGCTCCAGAGCAAACTAATTTACTCAGTAGCCAGATCGCTGGCTCACAGCTTTATTTCCAGTAGCTCACAGAGTAGAATTTTTGCTCACAGGACTCCACAGCTTAGAGAGAGCATTGGTCACAACCATGGACTTCCTTGGTGGTCTTCCATCCAAATACTAGCCAGGGCCAACCATGCTTAGTTCCTGAGTTCCGAAGAGATTGGGCCAGCCTGGGCTATCCAGGTCAGGGTTAAAAACGGTATAATACCTTATTTGTCACGTGCACTTAAAACCTTTCCATGGACCGAAGCTACGAATATCATGAGTGGATTTGCCAACCTCCAGGTCTGACCTGGAGATCTCCTGCTATTCCAGTTGATCTCCAGATGCCCAAGTTCAATTCCGCAGGAGAAAATGGCTGCTTTGAAGGATGGACTCTATGGCATTATACCCTGCTGAGGTCCCTCCCCACCCCAAACCCCGCCCACTCCTGGATCCACCCTCGAAATCTCCAGGTATTTCCTGACCCAGAGCTGGTGTCCCTCTTTGTAAGTGACTCCCACTGTCTGAGACCGCATTCCCTCCTTCCAAAGCTCAGTTTCAGGGCGAGTCTGTAACTTAGTCCATGTTCTTATGAAAGACACGGAAAGATAGCAAACCTGCATTGGTCTTGAGAGCCAGTTTGGTGGAGTGGTTAAGTGCGCGGACTCTAATCTGGGCGAACTGGGTTTGATTCCCCACTCCTCCACTTGCAGCTAATGGATGACCTTGGGCAAGCCATAGTTCTGACAAGAGCTGTCCTTGAAAGGGCAGTTCTTGAAAGAGCTCTCTCAGCCCCGCCTACCTCACAGGGTGTCTGTTGTGGGGAGGGGAAGGGAAAGGAGATTGTAAGCCACTCTGAGACACCTTTGGGTAGTGAAGGGCGGGGTATAAATCCAATGTCTTCTTTCTCCTCCTTCACTACTAGGGTTGACAATCTCCAGGTGGGGCCTGGAGACCTCCCAGAATTCCAACTGATCTCCGGACTACAGAGATCAGTTTCCTGAGGGTGAAAAAGGACTGTTTTTGAGGGTGGACTCAGGGCCAACTTATCACTTGGGGACAGGAGGCACAGTGCCTAGGGTCTGCAATACTTTCAGGGGCCCATGAAGATGTTTTAATTTGTTTAAAATCAGAAGGGGGGGGAGTTGAACTTTTAGGGTCAAAGAAGATGTTTTAATGTTTTTCCTCACATCAGAAAAATTTTTTGAAATGGTTTAGGGCCCATGGAAATCTATTATATTTTGCCTAAAACGGGGGTGGGTGGGGAGGGAATAAAACGTTGAAGTGTTTAAAGTTACATCAAAAATAATTTTTTGATATTGATTATTTTTATGGTGGGAGGCGCCCACAAGGGCAAAAGCGCCAAGGGCCCATGAAAGTCATAACGCAGCCCTGGGTGAACTCAATGGCATTATACCCCACTGAGGTACCTCCCCTCCCTGTTGCTAGGCAAGTTCTCCCCACACCCAACAGCAGAAACTCATTAGCCTATTAGGCCACACCCCTGACAGCACAACTCATTGGCATATTAGGCCGCACCCCCATGTTACCAGAAGTGTGCTCATCCAGCCACACCCATCGTTTGCTTCTTATTCTGTTTACCTTGTTTGTTGCCAAAACCCAGGGCTTTTTTGTAGCAGGAACTCCTTTGCATTTTAGGCCACACACCCCTAATGTAGCCAATCCTAATGAGTTTCTGCTGTTGGGTGTGGCCTATTATGCTAATGAGTTCCTGCTGGGTGTGGCCAACTTGGAAGCCAGCCGGAACTCCGTTCCTGTGCGTTCCTGCCCAAAAATAGCCCTGGTGGGAACTAAGGTACTGGCTGCATCTTAGGAGAAACTTCTTGACAGTCAGAGTTGTGCAGCAGTGGAATGGGCTGCCTCTAGGGAGGTGGCGAGCTCCTCCTCACTTAGCAGTTTTCAAGCAGCAGCTGGACAAACCCTTGTCAGGGAGGCTCTCGGCTGGTCCTGCATTGAGCAGGGGGTTGGACTAGATGGCCTGTCGGGCCCCTTCCGACTCTGTGATCATGTGATT